GCAGGAACTTGTTCAGCGATTAAACTACCCTTCTAAAATATTACAGAAATGCAGGAGGGAGCTTCAGAGATCCAAGTTCATGTAGTACACTGTGCTGCAAGAGATGTGTATGTTGCAAGGGGGTGTTTAACCTTTGTAGAACCTATGCTGTTAAAAACTTGGTTTTCTGTGGCAGCTGTAAAATCAAGCAGATTAAGCATTTTTCTCTGTGGGGCAGTAAGAGGTCTGTTGCTGCAAATGAAAGAAGTGAAACTGGGCTACAGGAAAGCTACAGCTTTGAAGAAATCTTGATTTGCTGATGTTACAACATGTGTTTGTCCTGTACCAACATTTAAGTAAGTCAGAAGTCAAAAAAGTTCCTTGAAGAAGTTTAGGGTGCCTGTGCAGTGACTGGGAAAGCACAGCTGGCCCTTTTAGAAGCTTCAGCTTTTTTTATCAGCCCACATCAACTGCTGTGCCAGATAGAGCCATAGAACTGCTAAAGTTGGAAAAAGACCTTTAAGATCATCAGGTCCAACCTAGCACTACCATATGTTCACCACTAAATGAATTTGTTTGTCCATGAGTGATAATCAGTCACCTCCAATCTTTGAGTTTCTTCCAAGGTTTGATAGTATTGCATAAGTAAGTGTAGTTGCAGCTTTATTGCTTCAAAATGCAGTGTCATGCTTGCATGGATATTTGCAGATGGTCTCTGCCGAAAGTACCATGGGAGTGTGTTGCCTTTACTTTGTTCTTACCACAGGGAAAAAGAATGCAATTGAAAAAGCATTGTAAGAGCTAAGCCAGAGGGGAGGAAAAGGTAGTTTTTCTAAACGTTGTAGGCACGTAGGATTTGAGGCTATACTCACTCCAGGTAATTGGTAATCCTTGTATGTATATGAGAAGTCCTGAAGTAGCCTCTGGATTATTACTACCATGGCAGTATCTACTGCCAGGAAGTCCTTTTATGTTAGTTTGGGGTAGGTTTTTTGGGTTTTTTTGGTGTTTTTTGTTGTTTGGTTTTTTGTTTGTTTTGTTGGGGTTTTTTTGGGGTGTGTGTACTAATTATTTCTGAGATACACTTTACTCAGCTTTTAATCACACGCTATTCTTCCACTGTGGGTGTGAGAATAGGTGTAACTGCTTCAGAATGGAGATAGAAGTACCACAATCATTACTGCAAGTTGTGACTGTCAGGAAAATGAACTGTTAAACTAACCCAGAATTTGAATTGAATTCATAACTGACATATTTCTAAGAGGATTTTGTCCTCAAGGTTAGATTTGGGCAAGTCCAGGCTGGGAAACCATACCACACCAGTCAGGAATAACAGCTGAGGTTACTTAAGAAAGGTAAACTTTTCTGATTTGACTCATGCTGTCTTGGAAGCTTTACTGCTTTTCTACTTTAATGTGACAATTCCCAGATTTCACATATCACTGTTAGCTCTTCAGCCTTCAGTTAAAGTATTTCAATTTTCTCAGACTTGTCTGTCTCTTTCATTCCTGACCTTCTTTTCTAGTTGCTAGTGTTTATTATGGTATTCCAGTTTTCACCTCTTCCATTTTCACTTCCATTTTCCCCTGAACTGTGAATCTCTTTACCCATGCTGATTTTGGGGGACTGAGCTATGATTACTTGTGTGAAGGTTTGTTTTCAGCTCTGGTACAGTTTGGAGCAACTGCAGTGCCTGAACACAGACGGGATCTTTGCTTTGTTACGTATATTATTAGTGAAAAAAGCTAAGACTTCCTAGTCCATAACTTCTTTCCTTGATAGCCTTTATTATTTGATAACTTGATGGGCTGGACGACAGGGCAAGGAGGGTTAGAAGGACATCAGAAAAAATGCTGTCTTGGACTTAAATTTCAGCAAAGGCTTTGATGGTTCTTGTGGAAGAGAATCAAGCAGAAATGCATCACCTTACTTTTAAAGGAGTCTTCTTATCACTGTCTGGTTGTTTGTTCTCAAGTTAACATAGCAGTCTCTTTACTGTAATGATGTAATTTATAAATATTATATTATATTATATTATATTCTATTCTATTCTATTATATTATATTATATTATATTATATTATATTATATTATATTATGATGTAATTTATAGTGGTTAATATAATGGTTATTAGTGTGTGTATACACTTTATATAGAAAACAAACAGAAGTGAAACAAAGAGTTTTAAATCTATCAGTAAAAAGCTGTTAGATGAACATTCCTAATAATAATTTTGAGTCAAAATTTGGAACATATTGGGAATTTATGTGCCAGAGACATGTGCAAAGAAACAACAATTTTCAGGCATTTATATACACTATAACATTCAAGATTTTTTATAGACACTCCCAAAAATCTGCCTATTTTGTTGCATCATGGTATATGTGCTTTATTTCTTTTACTTCCAGAACACTTCATCTATCTTTGTTTAATGGATAACCCCAGTTTTATCCAGCTAAACAGTGCTTTATTAAACTCACTGTCCTGGTTAGACAATTACTATTGATTAAGATTTCTGAGGTGTACTCAACTATGAAATGGCTCCCCTACTGCACCTGCAATGTATGAATCAGGTTTTCTGGGACCTTTCTAGGCCTTTGACTCCTTATCTTTCTCAAAATATCTTTCTTGTTCTGTGACTTCTAATTCATCTCTAGTTAATTGATAACCATTAAATTATTCTTTACTGAATTTTGTTCTTCAACTATTGATTAGGCTGTCTAAGAGATATGGGTCCCTGGAGTCCTGTAATGCAGGTGCAGTGAGATAATTTCTCAGGGTTTTCTACTGACACTCAGCCCATACAGATCTAAATCAAAACCAGCTAAAAGTCAAAAGTCACAGTCAAAAGAAATGTATTATTTAAACCTACTGACTTTGAAAACAGTTTACAAGAGCAGGTTTTACAAATTTTACAGTTTACAAGAGCAGGTTGCTGTTCTTGGAACTGAGTTTGTAGTTATGACATGCTTAGTCCAGTAAGATTTAACTGGAGCCCACAAATGTTGTATCACTGCTGTTTATCCTTTGGAGTTATCTACTATGCTTAAGCAATGTAGTCCTTACCATTTCTTAAAATTTTATATCTAAATATACAAAACAATCTTGGTTTGTTAACCTAGGAATTAGTTTGTGGATCCATTAATCAAGCATGTGCCTGTGTTTTCTGTTTGGTTTGAGGCTTTTGGTTTTATGACCTACAGGAAAATCTCGTAGCCTTGAAGTGGCTGAAACAATGTGATTTTAACAGAAGAAGAGAAATAGTAAGCAGAAAATTTGTCTTGTTTCCAGAATTAGGCCTAAATGTAATAAAAAAAAGGTTTAGTGAAATTAGTTTTTCAGTATTGTTCCTAGATGTGATCATTGCTCTGCTGAAAAAACCCATATTCCAAAAAATAGAGATCTTTGAGGTCTGAGCGTGGAAGCACTCAAAGAAACAGCAGCAGAGAGACAGAAATGGCCAGTACTGATGGCAATGAGATTTGCAGATCACATGATTACAACATGTTTGAAAGAGCCAGGTAGGCAAAACAAAGGTCAGCCCGAAGAAATAACAAGTTCCTGTATTCAGACATGGAGATTCAAGCTATTAAAATAGGATAGTGGGAAAATAAAGAACAGGGCTGGTGCCTTGGTGGCATAGAGACAAAAGATACAAAAAGCAGGGAGTCAGTTATTGATTCACAAATGTGTGACAGAATGGAAGACAAAGCATTTCTGAATCGCTGTTGGCTCCCCGGAGGTGCAAATGGCACATCAGTGAATGGCTGCCAGCCTAACCAGCATCCCTTTGTCCCTGGTCATTTCTGGTTGGACCACTTGGGTACCTATCTGAATGCAGGGCACACAGGTGGGACAAATCCCTCTCAATGCCTGGGACTGTAAGCTAGTGAGTGGGATCAGTTTTGTGTTACTCTGAACTCACCATTTGCTCCTGTAAACGTGTTTTCTGGCTTTGCTTTGTTGTTGCTGCAGTGTCATGGTATCTTTTGTTACAGCCAAACACTGTTGACACCAAAGCAAATACGTAAAGTAGCAGATACAAATGCTGGAATTGGCTGCTCATTTACCTAAGTGTGGGATGCTTTGACATTGATTTTGAGGATACTTATTCTTAATTTTGTGAAAGGTGATTTCCCCAGCACAGGCTTCTGGTGCAGGAAACCTTCACCTGTGTTGTGTTTCTTTGTCATTGAGGAATACAGAACATCTCTGTTTCATCACAAAAATTTTTTGAGTGCTGATTAGTTTCTGGGTTTGGTGACTGACCCTTTTATCTAAATAGTGGAGAGCTTGCTCTGTTCTCCTTGTTCCTTGCATGTGCACTTTTAATAAACACATTTTGCTTTTTTTCCCTCAGGTCCTTGTTACCAATTAGCACTTCTGTCTTAGTGGGTTTTGTAGTTGAGCACATAGCAAGCTATATATTGGTTTCTTTACAGTTTTCACCTTTCATATTGTACTTGTACGTTTTCACAAAAAGAACAAAAGCTGAAGACAGCCTCCTGTTCAAAGTTTGCTCCCTTGCTACACACCTCATTGCAGCTTAGTTGGGGCAAAATGCCAGAGTTTGCTACTGTTTCTTAAGGTGGCTCCTAGATAGAGGCATAGCCACACAAACTCTCCTTGCGCTGGGAACAGTGAACATTCCAGGGCTCACCATGAGTGGTGAATGTATGGGCCATTTGCTGTGATAAAGTACGACTTGAGCAATGAAATGGACATTAATTTTCAATTAGATATTTTTGCACTGAGTTAAGAGTTTCAGGGCTGGATTGGTAAAATGTAATTTGAAGAAACTCGTGTTGTGGTGGATAGTCTTGGTCTCCTGACTGCAGTATTTTGTGGGTTCTAGATCTAGAACCACGGGTTTTATGCATTTAGCATTGCGTGCTTGACAACATGCCTGTGCAGCTGGCTGGGCTCTGAACTGGGGGTGTTTGAAGGGTTGATCTCAGATCTTAATGGGAAGAAGGTGAATCACAGTGGGTGTGCCTTTATGCTGCGTTTACTGAGATTTACGCTTAGTCCTGGGGACGTGTACTGAGGGCAGTACTTGTCGACAGCAGACGTTTTCACCTTTTTAAAGTGTGTGACTGAAGGAGTCCAGCCACTGACTGAGCAGACACAGAAGGTTATTAACTTGTCAGCAGAAGACCCAGTTTTCATCTGCTTGCTCTAAGTATAAGCTTCTCTTTCTTTGTTCTTGTTGATGCACTTGGGTGGAAGAAGGGAAAAGGATCTGTGAGGATAGCATTAATGCAAGTAATTTATTTGTTTCTGTCTTGTGTGGAATATATTTGTAGCAATGTGCTCCCAATTCCAAGCTCTAAGCTTCGCAACTGGAGAAGTATTTTCTTTCAATATGATGATTGTCACAGAAAGAGGTCTTGCTTACCATTTTTTTCTCACTTGCACTTTGGTTCCCGCATGTAAAAGTAGGTTCAGTAGACTCAGGTAATGGTGGCAATTTAAAACTTAAGTTTTAATCTCTTTTTCTAAAGGGATTTTTTTTCCTCCTAAAAATAGTAGATTTTCCTTCTTTACTATCCTAAGTGTGGGAGTGGTACATTTTTCTGGGATGACTTCCCACATGAGGACTTGCTGCCATCGGGCAGGGAGGTCTGACAGGTCAGAGGAAGATTTGGGTTGCTAAAGCAATAAGGAGACTTTTCTGACATTTTTCTTAACCTGGTGATTTGACCACAGAAGCAAGCAGAAGCTTTCTTGTGTGATGGCACGTTATCGAGATAGGTGTTTTGCCTGATGAAATCTAAACCATCCCCCTGAGCAACCCAGTACTGTTGGGCATCAAGTTGACACGTGTTTTGTCTGTGTTTGTTGCACAGGATGGTGACTGCCAAAGTATGGGTTCTAAAGAAGCATTTTGATGGTTTTCCCAAAACCAGTGACTTTGACCTGAAAGAGATAGAGCTACCAAATCTAAAGGATGGAGGTGAGTAGATGCTACCTGTTACTACTAATTTTTCTGGAGATTATGGTTGCTGATATATGGCTGTGAATCTATCAAACTGCATGTTTCTCTTTGGAATTTCAAAAATTGCTGGCTTCTCACAAGCTGTGTGCCTTGAGGGAGAAGGACAATTGCTGAAGACTATACTGAGGGGGTTGGTGGTTTCAGACACTTTGCCTTCTGATAATGCCCATAGAAACAGTGGTTGAATTGTAAGTGCATTGCACAGCAGTTGTGCTATACCTTTCACAGTTTCATGCTGTCTAATCACACTTGCTGCCTGATGACAAAGGCATTTGAATGTGTTTGCAAATGGAGAAAATTACCAAAGTGATATGGCCTCAAAACCTACAACCACAAGGAAAACAGAATTTCTTTAATGCAGAAGGAGAAAAGTGAACTGTGACACAGAACCGATGAAGTAACTGTATTAAAATCCTAACATGTTTTACTAGTAGAATGTTTTTATCTACTTAAATTTGCAAAGTCCTTTGGAATAAGGTGGAGAACATGATGCCCTGTAGGAGTAGGTTTTCAGTGGAGTTTTTCATGCTGATAGGGGAAAATGTTGAGGATAGTGCTGGGGGGAGCAGAGTGACTGCATTGGGAATGAACTCACAGCTGAAAGACCTTGGGGTTGGAGTCAGTGAAGGTTGGTCTTTTATTTCAAAAGGTAGGATAGCATGATTTCTACCTGCATTCAATTTATTTTTTTTTTGCCAGTCCTTATTTTATTTGATCTGTTGCAACAAGAAGACAGGTTGAATATAAATATACAAATAAAAAGGGATAGTTTTTATTCCTGTGTTTCTCTGTTTTGAGAAGAGTAAGGAATATGATAACTTAATATCATATCAACAGCAAGAGCTGTTGATAAAAGAATGAACTGTGATTTTTAGTTTCACATGGACATTTGTACCATATTTTCTTGAGCCTCATCCCACCACTTGTCATTTACAAAATTTGCCACACTTAAAAAGGTGTGCAGAAAGAATTGTGCAGAAGGATATTAAACTTATATGTTTGAAAACTGATTTCTTCTTACATATACCGATACACTTAAAAAATTCATGCTGCTGAGTATTTAGGAACATGGAGTATTTTTTTCCTTCCTATTTTAATCCCTAAAGCAAAAAGAGGCAAAAGTTCACACTACAATGACATTTTTAAAGGTGATGGATGGCCTTCCTTGTTACGTTGCATGGCTTTCCTGCTCACTCGAATAAAGAGAAGGTATGTCTGAGTACATTTCTAGCGTGTGCTAGCTAGATCAGTACAGCACAGGCAATGAAAAATATTACTAGTTGGAGATGAACCGCTAAAAGTGCAGGGTAAATGAGAAGTTTAAAACATGTTTAACAATATCTTTCCCAAGAGCTAGTGTTAGTATAGACAGTAAAGTGCCTACTTAGAAAAGATAAACTAATGCCTTCTGTTTAAGGCAGCCAAATAGTTTGTATTTGATCTGTGCCACCCTCTTCTGCCTGACTCATGGATTAACATTTTTTATTACATCAAAATTAAATGAGAGATTTGTTTAGGAATTCTGTCTGCTTGACCCTTCTGTAGGGAGAAGAGACACATGCAAAATTGTTGGTTGAAAATAAGATGCTTTCCTAAAGCTACACTGGGGAAAGTTTCTTTTTCAACAGCATACCAATAACCCAAAACTAATGAATGTAGTTGCTGTTTCCGGTAGGCTTTCCCCTAAACAAAGGTGGGATATAGGAGTTCTGAGCTGTCAGGAGTTCATATCAATTTAGCTGAAAGTTTGACTTGTGAAAACTATGTTCTTCTGCATTGTTAATATCCAGGAACTTGCTTTGTCTTTCATTGCAGAGTTGCTGCTTGAATCCGTGTTTCTCAGTGTTGATCCTTACATGAGGTATACCTTTGTGTCCTTCCTGAATTTCTGGCTAAAGCGCCTCATTTGATTTGCCATTTGAACCTCAAAAAAATAGTGGGCAGGCAGTACCCACTGTTGCCAGAGTCCCAATGCTTTTGTCTGCTTTTTAAAAAATATATGTTAATTACAAGACTCAAAATACGGAGCTGTGCCAGATTTAGCTAGACATTGGGGTAACATTTCTGCTGCCCTAGACTTTTCTTGGAATCATCTGTTGTTCCTTGTCATGTCTTCAACTGGAATGCAATGTACTCAAATGAGACTGCAGCCTCATAGGAGTTCCTGCTTAATTTAACTTAGCAAACTTGTACTTAAGGACACATATTCTAAGTTGGACATTGCTATACCCAGTTGGATATACCCAATAGGTGGTAGTTGAAGCACAGGGAGACTGGGTAGTTTGAAGAGGCATTGTGGGTGCTAAATTCAGAGATAGTTCTCTGAGTCTCAGGGGTTTTTTTAGTGGTGGACTATGCTGGGAAGATTAATGCAATCATCCCTCTAACACTGCTGCCCAGGATGCCCAAGTAGCTGGCTCTGGAAAACATCTGGTTATGCTGTTAGACTGCCAAGCTATTTGTGATCTGTTCAGCAGCACTGCTGGTACTGTCTTCCTGGGTCAAATAGTTGCTACTACTTTGTAGCATGTCTGGGACATTATTAAAGTTGCTTACAGTAAACTGTGTTTGCCTGTGTTGCAGGCCTTACAGTCAAAGGGACATGAAAGAAGGTGACATAATGATAGGCACGCAGGTTGCCAGGTAAGACCTTCAGTTCCTGTTATCAATGTGTCTGGCAGATCTCAACAGGAATGTGCTGGCACTGGAGACATTTGCAGCCTATGTTACCCATCTTTGACTTATGTGTACATACTTCTGCTACTGACATTCTTACCTGTAACTGATTGGAATGTGTCATTCCTCTAAGAACCACTTTTGCCTTTCTGGAGAGCATTTAGACCTATGATAAAATCTGTATGTTCTGATAATGTCTTCAAAGGCAATTTTTACAAGTATAAAGGACCAACCATTGTACTTGCCACACATTCTGAACGCTTTAAAACCTGATGTGCTAGTAGCTGCTTATCTGCAACCATGCATGCTATCTACTCCATCTGAAAATATCTCCGCATCGCCAAAGATACAGCTCTAGCAAAAGGGTTATATAACCTTAAATCCATCCTTTACCCAAGTTTGTGGCAATGAAGATAGACAGATGCTGCCCTCTGTCGCCTTGTTCCTGCTGTGCTGCCTGTAAGTTGCTGCCTAGGAACATCTGTAGCCTTTAACTCTTGTGTTTCTCTGTAGAAACATTGAGGGCTAGGATGAATTAATAACCAAGTCTGGTGAATGGAAGGCCAGCTGTTTCTAATAATTGTAAACTGCTTATCCAACCCTTTCCAACACAGTTTTCTTGTTGAACAGAGTGGAATTTTCATTTGGCGTAGAGGCTGCTGTTATGGATGTCTCCCTGATTTTAGATACTGCTTTTTATCTGGTTTCATTACCCAAAGAGGTTGCATCTTCAGGATCTTCAACTTTTAAATGAGGTGCAGGTTGTCTGAGAACAGTCAGTCTATCAGCAACTCCTTGCTCTTCCATGTTTTAATCCCAGTGTCCTCTTTCCTGCATTCTAAATCACAGAAACCGGGTCTGATCTCAGACCAAACTGGTGCTAGTCAAAGAAACAGTTGGGGCTTGTGTGGTAAATTCAGTTTATTGTGGAGGGGCTGAATCTAAAATAATCTTGGCAGTACGTCCCTCATGGTAAGATGTTGTCGACATTTCAGGAAAGACACTTGACACCTATAGCATCAGGAAGTATGGGATAAAAATCTTGGCATGAAAATACTCCTTATCTGAATCACAGGAAGAATGGAAGAGCCGGTACTAATTTGTTTCTGACAGTATGTGATTTTGGTTTTTGATTTTGTGTTTGTGTTTTTTTTGGTTTTTTTTTACTTTTTAAACAGGATTGTAGAAAGCAAAAATTCTGCTTTTGCAGTGGGAGCTTTTGTTTTGGGTAACAAGGGCTGGAGAACTCATTTTATCTCTGATGGGAAAGACCTACAACTCCTTCCTTCCAGTTGGCCAGAATCACTCCCCAGATCTCTAGCTCTTGGAACAGTTGGCATGCCAGGGTAAGTTTTGAGATGAAAAGGCAACTATCCTCTGGATTTTGGTGTGCAGGAGGTTTCTGGCTGTCTGTACTGACCTTTGTCTTATTCTACCAGCATATTGCCTATTTATGCTGGTAAAAAAGGTGTGCTTCTGGTTGCCCTTTCCCTGTATAGGTCATGAAGTTTGGCCCATCCTCCACATCAGAGGAGATTTGCCTTGGAGATTATATTCCTTCCTCATGCCTTGGAGATTATGCTCCTTCCTTTGAGGAGCTGTAATAAGTCAGAAGGAGAATCCAGGAAAAGCTGGAAAGAATCTAGTTCAGTCTGTGTTAAACTCAGTGGAAAGTCTCAAACTTCACTGGCACCTGGACTAGTCTGCTTTTACTGATTTGGCTCTGTTGCTATTGCTGTATTTCCAGTATCAACCCTAAAATGCAAAAGACAGATGCTGTATCATGCAGTGAAATAGATGTCCTTTAAATTGCACTGCAGCAGACAGAATCGCTGTGCTTTGGAATCCGTATTTACTATTGGAATCTCTCTGTGATCTTGCATTTCTTACCTCATTAGTTTTTATACATTACCTCATTTTCATGCATTACCTCATTTAGTTTTTATGTTACCATCACGTGGTTTTTACAGGAGATCAGGATTTAGTCAGTTCTAATGATCTGGAAGGCTTTCAAAATGATTGTAAAATTGTGTGTGGTGAAGAACTTCTCAGGTTTCACTTTAACAACAGTCAAGATGCATGTTTTTCCTGGATAAAGGGATCCACTTAGCTCTTTCAGTTATGACCACATGGGAAGCTCTAAGCTTGAATTTAGAGATTAAAGGAAGAACTTTTTGGGATTCTTGGCCACTCGATGAGCTACTTTAGTGGTTCCTACAAATTACTAGTGCACTGGTGAGACCTGAAGTAGTTTCCAGTTTTGGGCCCCTCACTACAAGAAATACTTTGAGGTGCTGGGGCGTATCCAGAGAAGTGCAACAGAGCTGATGAAAGACCTGGAGCACAAGTCTGACTTACTCAGCATGGGTAAAAGCAGGCTCAAGGAGACCTTACTCTTCTTTATGGCTACCTAAATGAGGTTGTAGCCAAGTGGGGGTCAGTCTCTTCTCTCTGGTAGTAAGTGACAGGACAACAGGAAATGGCATCAAGGTGCGTTAGAGGATGTTCAGGTTGGACATCAGGAAGAATTTCTTCCCAGGAAATGTTGTCAAGCATTGGAACAGGCTCTCCAGGGAAGTGGTGGATTCACTATCATTGAAAGTGCTGAAGAAACAACTGGGTGTGGCACTTAGGTCTAAGGTTTAGTTGACAAGGTGATAATTAATCAAAGGTTGGACTCCATGATCTTGGAGGTGTTTTCCAACCTTAACGATTCTGTGTTTCATCCAGTAGCCATAGCAGAGTAGTAGTCAGGAGCAGTGAGCCCATCAGTTCAGCAAGTGTTTCTCACCCTTTTTATCTTTTTCTGCCAGCTTTGATTTGTGATGAGTATAATTTAATCTAGTAGATACCAACTGGCAATTGACCTCTGTCTAGCTTGGATTTACTATCTCTTCCAGTATGTAACTGAGTTGTCACAGAGTTATCTGTGTTTCTCCTTTCTACTAATAAATACAATGAAAGCTGATTTCACCTTATAGAGATTTCTGCCTTAGCGTTCTCTTTCCCAGCAGTGTCTGTTTTTTCCTATGATTGCTGTGAAAAGGCCAAATTAAGAAGGTTGGATTAAGTTTTGTATTTCACAGTATAGGAAAACTTAATCTTGTTTTGGTGGTGATGGTATTTTGGTTCAGTGTGGTCAAGTCATGTCTCTGTTTCTATCATCTTTTATTCCTCACTGAACATTCTTTCCTTTTCTTTGCAGCCTCACTGCATATTTTGGTTTGCTGAAGGTCTGCAAGGTGAAGCCCGGAGAGACAGTGCTGGTTAATGCTGCAGCTGGTGCTGTGGGCTCTGTGGTGGGGCAGCTCGCTAAAATTTGGGTGAGTGGGTTGAACTGCTCATACTTGCTGCTGAGAAGACATAGCTGTAAAACAGGGCAACAAGGCTATGAAGGATCAGTAGGACAAGCATCCCTGACATGCCTACACTAGGGTCTTGAGATGGAAAAGCTCCTGAAGACATAGTAAGTCTAGTTGGATGTTTCAGGAGCTCATATGCTGACAACAGCCTTACTTGAAGGATGAACCCTTCACTCCGCACACTCTGAGTGTCAGCCTGAATTGTCCCCTGTGTTGTCAGGGGATGTTTATAAATATTTTTCTCCTTTCCTTGCAGAGTTGCAAAGTGGTTGGCTGTGCTGGCTCAGATGACAAAGTTGCCTATCTGAAAAAAATAGGCTTTGATGAAGCCTTTAATTACAAGACTGTTAAATCTCTGGATGAAGCACTGCGTAAAGCCTCTCCTGATGGCTATGACTGTTTCTTTGACAATGTAAGTTCAGAGAGAAGGCCTTGCCTTGAGCAGCTGTCATTTTTTTTAAACTGTAGCAGGAACTCAATATTGTAATAATCTAATTGAAATCTACACTAGGATTTCAGTATGGAGATCCATTTAATCAAGCAGTGGTCTCTGTAGGAGCTTACTGCTTTTCTGTTCCCTTCCCACACATATTTCTGCAGCTGACTTGAGCAGTAAGAGAAAGAACAAAACCCAAAAGGCAAAGCTGTATTGTTGGCAATATTTGTGAATGTAGAGAGATAAGTTTTACTTTACTCTCTGAAAAGCATGGCACATTTTGGGGGGGTGACAGTCACAGTAACATGAAACTGATCCAATCCATTCCTGGCCCCACCTTTGACCACGAGCATTTCTCTGCTGTTACTGAAAGGGGAGTGAGTGTGGGTGGCTCCACATTGTGTGGTCATGGGGACTACATTGGTACCTGTAAACAAAACTGTAGCAAGGCCCACTGGCAAAACTACTGGAGCAGACCTCAGAAAGTTTCTGACATCTCCCAAATAAAGCTGGAATTAATGGGGACTATGTGCTGTTCTTGCTAGGTGTTTGAATGTGAACATCTTGTTTTGAAGGCTAAGAAAGTTTAACAGTATGGATGCGATGCAGGTAAATCCTGTCAGTTCACTTTCAAGATAAAGAAAACTAGCCCTGTCTCTTTTGTTTTCCTACTACAGCTAACATATGCATTATACCTGATAATATAATGCCGTATAGGGGTATTAACTGATACAGGGTCTTTAAACTCCCTGGCTAGCTACCCCATTTAAAAGAAGCCATTGTCACCTCTTTAGCATGTCTTCCCTTCAGCAGTCCTGCCAATCCAGGAATGAAGTTCCTGGTGTTTTGCCTTTTTCTAGCAATTGAAAGGAATGTTTGGTGTCAGGGCAGAGTGCTTGTCTCTGCTGCAGGAGCTCCTGCCACTTTGTGTTTAGCCTTCCAACTTTCATGTCCCATGCTGCTATGGTCTTAAGTAGGTTTTATGGTCATGTCCATTCCATTCTTTCTCACTTCCAACTTTTGTGCAGAGCCTTATTTTTACAGCACATCCCTATTTTGGAGATGAGAACCATAAAGTGGAAAGTTTACATCACCACAACATACAGATGTAAAATTGCAGACTGGTGTGTGGGAAAAGGAGAACTGGTGCTTCTTAGCACCCTTAGGAGGAGGGATCTATGTGCTAGTCCTGTCTCATGCTTCCAAACCAAGCTTTGTGAAGCAGATTTGGAAGTAAAACTGATTCCTTACATTCATAACTAATTTTTAGAAGAGTGAGATGGAGTCCTCATATCACTGTGTAAATGCAAGGGTTTCCGTGGCCACCAAGTTTTTGGGGTGATGGAAGTTGCTGCTCTGATTGAACCACTTTGTGCAACAATGCAAAGTTGGCAGATTTTGGCAGTCAATGCTAAACACTGGATTGTCTCTAACGCTGCACATGCTCTGGTTCTTGCAGGTGGGTGGAGAATTTGCCAGTGTTGCTATCAACCAGATGAAGAAGTATGGAAGGATTGCAGTCTGTGGTGCCATCTCTCAGTACAATGACACTGTGCCTCAGAAAGGTGAAGGTCTTTATTGTGTCTAAATTGGTTTTCTCTTTGGTGGTGGCAGAAAGACATAATGGCAATCTACTGTTTACTTCCCTGTGCCATTTAAGAGTATATATGTGTATATATTTGGGTAACTGACTGCTGCTGTGGGACACTGAGACCATGCTCCTTGTGTGTACATGCACTCATCCTCCTTTGTGCACACTATCTTGTGAACATCAGCTGATTAGAAATGATGGAGTGGCTAAACTACTTAAAACAGCACTCCAGATGGCCCTTTGCAGATACAGGTCAGCAGAAGCCAGGTGTGGTGTCATGGTGCCATTTATACAGCAGTACGTACTTTAAGATGTGATAATAGTTTTCCCTCAGGTTTTTAGATAATGCAGGTTAAGGTTTTTGGGTTGTTTTTTTTCCCCCCCATAAGATTTCAGCTGCTAATGAAACTGCTGAGAAATGTGGCTGAATGAATATTCATTTTCAGTAGCTTTAAATTTTCCAGATTTGCCTTCTAAAAGAAATAGAAAGACTGTATTCTTTTTGGTAGCTGACCAGCTTTGGACTCTCAGATCACTTTAAAAAAATAGAACAGGCTTTTGGTAATGAGGAGGCTATCACACATTTCTGTGATTGAGGAAACTTTTTCTAGAGTTTATAACTTAAATTTTAAGAGTTAGAGAGAGCATGAGAGTCTAAGTCCCTCAGGTGAAACTGAGGCCACTTTATTTCTGAATGAAACTGTTTCCAGAATTGTTTAGCCCCATAGCTTTATGGATCAGGCTTTCTCTCCCTAGTCTGTCCATGAGTCTTTGGTCTTTTGTGCTGGAAATTCTCTGGAAAAAATATCTGTTGCTTCTGGCTGAAACAAAGTGATTGAGTGGTCTTTACTGGCTAAAAGTTCACTTTGTGCGTTGGGACTTATTTTGAATGAAACTGATATTGCAGGTGGCTTGCTGGTTCTTTTCTCTTGCAGGGCCTTATGTGCAGATTCCCATGATTTTCAAAGAGCTTCAAATGGAAGGGTTTATTGTGAGCCGATGGAAGAACCAGTGGGAGGAAGGTCTGCAGGCTCTGCTAAAGTGGGTTGTGGAGGTAAGGAAGGAAGGGCAGCCGTTTTAAAATGTACTCACACTGCAGATTCCATCGTTGCAAGAGGTCTCTTGTCATAGAGACCTCTACTTTAGGTGAGGTCCCAGCATGACACTTTCCTTCTCCCTGCCTTGATCCTTCACTCTCTTGGGGACACTTTAACAATAGTTAATATGCCTGAACCCTTCTGTTTTCTGTTGTGTGATATCAGATTGTAGACTCAGATATAATCCAGAATACATGTAGGCTTTTAAGAAGCATGCTTCCAGAATAATTCAAAACACGTATTTGTTAATGACGATTTTCGTATTTGGAGTAATTCTTGTATTTCTCATTCAGTAATTTGCAGTATTGGTCAGGATTTCCACTGTAGTATTGTTCTGAAATTACTGGCAAGAATGAATGTTTTTATAGTATTGGGAGCTAGAATTTAAAGGGACTTAATAGGGAATTTTTATATTTTATTTTTCTAGATGGAGGTTGAGTTAGTAACCAGGTTGGTTCATCACTGTGAGAAATTTGTGAGTGTGAACACTAAAGACTAAGAGACTCTAGCTTTTAAAAACATGAGGATTTGGGATGGGTGAAGTTTTGATCATTGGATTTGCAATTCCATACTTCTTTATGGGTAGAGATAGGCCTGGCTTTGGGGAGATGACCCCCTACCTGTCAATTGTCTTGGGACCAAGTAGCAATAAATCTGGCCTGGTATATTTTTACAGCAGTGACTTTTGCTTACTGTTATGACTCCAAGTAAACAGTTCTACAACAAAAGCAGATCCTCACAAAGAGCACACCTGGTTTTTCAGTTATCTTGGTGTATGCCAGTTTACATATTTCAAATGAAATATATATGCTGGAGAAAATTTTGTTGCAATTTATTCAGTTTTGGTGAATGAAAATTCAGCAATTCCCTTTCTAATTTTTGACAGGGAAAAATGAAGTACCAGGAGCAAGTCACTGAAGGATTTGAGAACATGCCAATGGCTTTTATAGGAATGTTAAAGGGAGAAAATCTTGGAAAAGCTGTTGTAAAAATGTGAAGATCAGATATTTCTGGGAGACTGGTGAAGCAGAATGTGATTCTGTTAAATGCTTTTAATTCACTTGTCAAATCATACGATCATCATGTTTCTGTCATTTTGCCAGATGTGATTTGGTGATTGTAACCTCTAATAATAATTATGGCTACTAAGTAATAATGTGGCTAATAAGTCGAAGTACATTCCAATTGCTTTGCTCTTGAAGAAATTGAGAGTTGCTTCCTGGACCTACACAAAACAAAGTGCCTTTAAATTGCTGAAAATCAGAACAGTAACAGATTTGATAATAGTTTGAACCTTTCTATGAGCAGGCTTGTAGAAAGGAAAATCAATCTGAAAAGCTTTGCTAACTGATGGCACAATTAATTTGTACCTATTGATTTGGCCCAGAACTTTGCAAGGGGGATTTTTTTTAACCCATATCAAGGAGTGGAGAACAAGCTAAACTAACAGCACTTGGGGATTCCAGCTTCCTCTTTAGTTGGCTTTTTTTTCTTTTATTATACAGTGCTGCTATCACAGTTTTTCTGAGAATATGGAAAGGAAAAATAAACCTCTTAATGTGTATACTTTGCTTGTTTTATAGTTCTGTTTGTGGAACCCTCTCTCTTTCACTTCCTTGTGGTTAACACAAGGGAGCTATGATTTTACAAGGACTTGTTTATCCCAGCAGATCTCAGTACAGGTGATATGGATAGTTACCAGTTTCCTTGAGAAAGTTGTCATTGGTGTCCAACCTTGGAGCTGACCTTGCCATAGTGTTCACCCTGGCACTCCTGGAAGGTGAGATGAACATGTTAGCCCTACTGTTCAGTTAGTGTCCACACACAAAGTGCCAAACAAAGGAGACACACATTAGCAACACTGAGTATCTCAGGTGTTCTGAAAAAGAACAAGGGCCTGTTACTGTGGGATACGGACAGGCCTTGAGGGTTACTTTTTCAAGTCATTGTGGAGGACTTCTTGGTGAGTTTTAAGGTTTCATTCCTGATCCTTGCAGAGAGATTCCAAGCAGCCTTAATATCTTCACAGTGCCAGGTTTAGATACTCTGTATGTCCACAAAAATGGATCACTTATTTAAGATGTAGATTGACAATACTTGCTGAGTGGACTTAACAAAACACACCCTGAAATGCAGGTCAACTGGCCACTGGAAATAATGAATTTTGGCACAAGTAGGGAAGAGATTCTGGTAGTTTTAAAATGTTTTCTGAGGAGGACAAATTTACAATTTGAGTTAGCTCCAGTGCTGTGGTTTTACATTGGCCACTGAGGAAGATCTGTAGACTAATGCCACTGCGTATCATGTAAAGCAGTAAACAAAAAAGGGAACTTCTTGTCAGTAGGCTTCAGATGCAGTGAGTAGAGGTGTGATATTGCGTGGTGACTTTTTGTTAAGGAATTTCTAGAGGGCTTCTGAGTCCTAAAATACTGAATTGAGTCCAGTAAATTAATGATCTCTTGTTTCAAGTAAAGTGATGATTGGGAAATTAATTAAGAATAGCCACAAATATGAGAGCAACAGGAAGAGTTTATTTAATCTTAAATGTAAACAGCTGCAGGCTTCATAATTTGTTGGCTAAATAACTCTTCATTTATAGATATCATTATTTCTACAGTAGTGGTTTAACTGCTTAACACCTTATGCTTGCCTGTACAAAATTAAGCAGTCTCTAGACTAGTTCCAGGCTAATAAATATGCAGCTTTTGTGTCCTGTTCCTAAGCAATGTCGGGCTGGTGGCAATAATTAAGGACATAGTGGGTACCCTCCTTGGTGAGCTCACCATGGCCTGCCACACCAAAGGTGTCCTCAGGAAGCACTGGGAATTGTTGCAATTAGCTGTGGGTTGTTGAAAGCAGGGAGCTATCCCTGGAATGCATTGATGAGCTTCTCTCATGGTCCCCTCAGGGTCAATACCCACAGGAGGGGTCATGAGACACCATGGCCCAGCCCCAGAAGCCATTCCTATGTGAGGTGAGATTTATTCCCTAGCTGGATCAAATCCAACCCTAAACCTGCACCACCTCTGCCTGTACTGATGCAAGCAAGCCATACCTCGGATCCTTGGCTTTTATCTTGCTCTCATGACACCTTACTTTAATTGTTCATCTCACACCATCACCTCCAGACAGGATAGCTTGCTGCTGGCCATTACCTACAGTGTAGGGAGATGCCTCCTGTCCCTGTACTCAGCCCCTCATCACTAGCTCAGTGTGGGGCTCAGCCTCCAAGGAAGCTGAAAGCCTTTGGAGCAATCCTGCTAAGTGGTGCTAAAATTGCCCATCGTGTTTCCCTTATCAGCAGGCTTCACAGATATTCATGATGTGTGTCCTTGATCTCCCCCAGGTGCCTCTCAGAGAAATTAGAAACAAAGAAAGTTGAAATACCAGACCCTCAGTGTCTCCCTGAGCAAATGCAGTGGCTTACTCAAGTAGAGGGGAGATGACCCAAGCCTGGTCTAAGACTTTCTTCTTCTATGCCCTTGGACCTAATGCCTGGCTTCATGACCCCCTAGAGTCTGTTTATACCTCTGTCACATCCATGACAAACGCCGCAGTTCTTGTAAGCCAGGCAGATGGTGCCACCAGGACAGCAGGAGCCCACCTTCCCCCATGCATTCCCCTCTAGCCCATTACCTTAATACCCTTACAGCCATGACCTCAGCACTGTCAGAGAGGTACAAGCAGAAGGCATTCCCAGATGCTGCCTGTGTATACACACGTGTATAAAACCCAAACAGCCACCTGGTGGTGATTTGCATGTCACAAGCTTGTGTTTGTCAGCTGCAAGTAAAAATAGAGCTTCATGCAGCTCCCATGCCTCCCTCTACAAACTCTTTTTGTTGTCTCTACAAACCTGGACTATAGGAAGAAAAACTGCATTTCAGGTGGATATCCTTTTCCAGCATCTCCTCAGGTTTTTTCAAGTTTATTAAACTCACCTAGTTCATTCTTATCAAGGTTTTGTTACTGGGGAAGCTGCAGGGGTGGCTTCTGGTGAGGACCAGAAGCTGCCACCCCATCAGATGTGATGTTGGTCATTAGATTCTCATGAATAAAATCTCTCAAGAAATCCACCCCGGTTAAAATACTGTGTTTAGTTATGTACAGTTAATGTTCTTATCCCATTTGTAAACCTTGTTTTTTGTACCCCTTGTTTACTCCGATGGTTATTGGTAATGTTAATTACTTAAGTAATTAACATTAAAAGTAATTAATTAAAATTAAAATTAATCAATTAAATTAAAAGTAATTAATTAAATATGAATTATTACATATTAAATAAAGTGTTTTAAAGGTTCTTATGAGACATTGTTCTATCCCTTTCCCCTTACTTCCCTGCTACTATGTAACAGAGCTGCTCCCATGGGGGCTAAATCAAACTAACAAAAGCAACCCATTAGAAAGGTATGCCACAGAAGGAGCACCTCCCATGGAGGTTGTACCACACCAGAACAAAGAAACTCCCATGGAAGCTGTGCAACCGAGTAATATGCAAACAAAGGCATACAAGACACCAAAACAACGAGCTAAAGAGGAATAAAAGGACAGGGAAACATATTCTAGCAAGCTATGATGAAAGATCATCTCCCTGCGTCACCTAAGCCTGCTTAGAAACCATCTTCCTGCATCTCCATGACCTCAAGAGGACTGGAAAGGACTGACCCCCCTAGACTATGAGCCAGAACAACAGGTGTCCTGGCTACTCTCATGAGGATGTTCAAGATCAGATGGTGAGTGACAGCCATCTCCAAAAGGGACTTAACCTATCACCAAAGCTGAGCCCTCTGTGATATCTGAGTTTAAATAAAAGCTCTAAACTATAGCAGCAGGGAGAAAGGAACAAGAGCACATGAGGAAAAGCATCTTGTAAGACACAGTTGCCAGGTCAGATTCCCACCCTTCACCAAGGGCCAGGGACCAGCACAACAGAGTTAATCCAGTAAGGATTTCAACAATATGCTCCTCAAGCAAATTCCTTCAGTAGCTGAAAGCTGCATGTCAATAGAGCATAACAGAGAAGCTGTTATGCCAGTTTGTTGGCATTGGTAAAAAAACAGAAGTAATTTTTTAGCTTGGTAGATCCAACTAGTTTTGATGTATGAACAGTTAAGAAATTAAACATTAAAATTATTACCAATATACTCTTACTGGAATTATTCCAGGGGAATCAAAGTCTGATTTCATTCAGGTCAAGGAAAGAATGGAAAGCAGATGGCTAGCTGGAGCTGAAGTTAGGTTAACTGCTGTAAGAGATGGAAGAGACACGTGGGTGGTTCAGTGCCTCATGTGCAGGATATACACATCACCAAGTGCACAACAGCTCTTTCAGAACCCCTGGATGGAGGTAAGGAGTGTCCCTATTCTACTGCAACTTGGTCAAGAACAGTTCACTTGTCCACTCACTGTGACCCCTTGGCCCTTCCTTTCATGTTAGTTAGTCCTCTCTCATTAAGCCTAATTATTCCAGCTATGTGTTTTAATTGCTGTATTCAAGGAAGTATTTCTCTTCCTGTTGGCCGGCCCATTATAAGCAAGCTATGTAACAGGCCTGCAGACATCTTGTTTTTCTTGTTTGACAGCAAGGCACAGATCCCAGCTATTTCATAGCCAAATGACACAGACTGCAGTCATTGCCTGAGGGGAGAACTTCTTCCTGAAATCCTTTTTCCCAGAAAAAAACCTTTCTATGTTGTTTTTTTCTCTGCCATGTACATCAGGTTTACATTCAAGTCAGCTGGCCATCTAGCCACTCCCTGGTTACACACACCTTTGCAGATCACTGGATCAAAGCAACCAATTCTGTTCATACAAATAGCAGACCACAGAGTTTAATGAAAGAGTGAATGCTGTGCTACTGCCTGGCACATAGGAATACTGGCCTCACACCTACTCATAAAAAACAAGCAAAAAAATGCACCCACTGAGCTATCTATGAAGTATCATTACTTAATACTTGTATGGGAGGGCATATGGCCCTGGGCAAGGATACTCATACCCATTCCATTTAGAACAAAATGTGTATTTGCTATACCTATGCTTGTTAAAGACTGAAACACCCTCTCCTTGCATGTTGAAAGATTCAAGCCAGTTCCTGTCCTGAACTTGGTTCTCTCCTACCAGCAGGGGCACTTTTGCTCTAGGAACTGAGGCTCCTTACATATAATCAGAACAAAGCATAGGCTTTGCTTTCCATCACCTGTAATGACCACTACAAACAGTCAAATTCTGTGATAACTCTGCATTTGAGGACCCTGTGTTGGCTCCTTTAAAGGGAAAGTTTACCTAACATGGAGATCTTCACTGCGTATTCCTCAAAAAGCCAAGCTTTAAAGAACATCTTTCAAATTAGGCTATGCAAGTTATTTTCATCACAGTATGCCTACATGCCAATTCTTGGGAGGGGAAGATATTGCAGCACAGGAAGCTGAACTCACTGCCCTTTAAAGAATTGCTTTGCACCCCTTGCTTCAGTACAAGGGGTATTCCAGCTATTCTGGTCTTCCCAAGCATGACTTGAATTTCCAGTTACTGGCACCTGGATTGTCCAAGGCTACTGCAGAGTAGCATCTTATTAAAAAAGTAAACAAAGTGAAGTTAAACTCAACACAAAAGCAGCAATGCACCACTGACTGCACCTTTCCCCTGCAACAACCTGGTCTGGTCTTGCCTCAGCAGAAATACTGTATGTTGCAGCACACTTCAGTACTATTTCTTAAAGATGACGTGGGACGCCAGGGTCTCTTACTGACCTTCATTTGGAACTTAAAGCAGGAACTTTTTAAACCTTTCTTGCTCACAGTTACTGCACAAAGGGTACATGTATGCCACGCAGAAACTGCTTTCCAAAGCAATGTTTGTTTGCAGATGGTGTGGTGTTCATACTGCATTCTTGCTACAGCTTCATTTTATTCTCTCCTCACAAGTATGTCCATGGCACCACTTGGGGTAGTGGTTTCCCATTTACCTTTGAACAGTTCAAACATGCAGCTGCACATCTCTTAGTCAAACAGCCAGAGCTACATGTAAAGCATTTCTCATGTTCTTCTCATTGCATAATCACAACTCAGAACTTACATCCAAGAAGAACCTTGATGCATCATCCTCAGCTAAAGGGTGTGGCCACTTCTTGGACTAGAAAAATCTTGTTTCAAATTGGGAACATATGTATTAAGCTGTTCAAGGCCTCCAGTCCTCCAGAGCCATCAAGAAATTCATGCATGCTTGTGAAGTGAGTCTAAGGCTGAGTCATGGGTGAGTTCCCTACCACAAAGACAAGAGGCTCACTCATTCCACATTGTCTGCATATGCAGCAGGAAGTCTAGCTTTTCTGAGTGATCAGCGAGCAGCACAGCTCACTAACCCACTGCTAGCTACAGCTCTGCCCCCTTCTTTACTGAGTTCTTCTACAGGACAACATCCAAGCCAGCAAAGAAGCCATTTTGAATCTGTGGAAAAAACATTGTTCCCCTTGGTTACAGTGCCAAAAGTAGGTGAATGTCAGGTATAAAAAAGGCTGGCAGGTCAGCATTCATCAGGTCAGCCTAATTCAAGATTGGAGGACCACAGAATCCAGTTTACTGTCCAACACAGTGTCAGATGTGTTCTAAGAGTGCAACAATGCAACCAAGTGAAAATTACAGGAGTATAAAAAAAATTTCTTTAAGACATTACAAGTTTTACTTCTTCAGTCATTTCTTCCAGACTATTGCCTAGAACAAAGCAGCCCAACTCTGACTAAACACACTTTTTTACTGATAGAACCAGAAGGTACACATACCAGTGGAAAGGCAAATTGAAAAGGCAAGAAGACAGCAAGTCCAAGTCCTACCTTGCACTTCCATGGTAGGATCAGTCTTATGCTCTGGAAGGACAAGTCTTAGCTTTGAAGACTAAAATGCAGCTTGAAACATTCTATAAGTCTTTTAACCAAAAAGATGTAACAAAAGAAAGAACTATCCCACCCAGTGACTACCCATTTTTCTCCAACTCCTCTTTCTGTATTTGTAAACCAGATTATATCCTGGTGACTACCATCTCAATATGGTGACAGCAGACCCCTCCTGAAGCAACTGTCATGGCTATCCCAAGCCAACAATAGATGAGGTTGCCTTTGACAAGTCTTTGTATACAGACAGTACTCCTTAACACAGCAAAACCTGACACTCACCTGACATCATGAAATTCTTAATATTTTTGTTAAACACACAGCAATATCCAAAAGTGAAGAGTTTATACTTTATTTTACTCATATACATGGACCAAGAAGATAGTTTCCACCACTTAATCTAGCTAGCTTGTTTAGTTTGTTTATTTTAAGTAGAAAAGTTGCAGGCTGTAATTTAGCCAAAGCTGTCATGCTTCAATGTCTTCATGGCTGGAGATTAGACTAGACTTTTAATAGTCTCTTCCAGCTTCTCTTTATTGGCCCCAGAGAACTCCTGCACCTGTAAAGAGAGATTGGTTTTTAGAACTCTTGCATTCAATGCTTGTTAACATTAGTTGCATAGCATCCAGTCACATACACACCTATTCAATTCTGCTAAAAACTAAAATTTTTCCCACCGTCAAAACAGTAAATATTTTGCAGATGTTCATGTATTTATTTCCCACTTAACTCATGCAAAAGTTGAGACAAAAGATATCAAATTTCACTTACCATTGATCCCGAATCAATATAAGACTCAAAAAGAGTCTCTCTCTTGAAGAGACTCTGAAGGTGCCCACATATCAGAGGCAGCTCAAAGTTACCTGAAGTTGCTCAGGACTCTACCAATCAAATTCTGGAAGGAATGTTCCAAATGACCTACCCCTGTGCCCAGCTTCTCCTGTAAGAACTGTTGTTGCAATTTACAGCTAGAAAGACAGAGGCAACATTCATCTACTGTCTCAAAAAACAGCAGCTCTGTCCTCCTGTATTGCCAGGGGTGCAAGGTACAGAGCAGACTACGCTACAGGCCATGAAACTGCTTGCTTGGCACAAAAAGCCACACATTGACTGTAGCACTGTGATTACAATTCTTCCAATAACATCATGAAGTTGCAAAAGTTCACCCTAACAAAACTGTCAAAGGTTCATAGTGACCCCATACTGAAAGTCACTCAACTATCCAAGGTGAAATTCCATCACCTTCAACCACAGAAACTTACACCCAAGCATTGTTTTCCTTTAGAAAAGCCTACCTTCACCTTGCCTAGCAAACTAAAAGCCTAAGACAACACACTCAGCTCCGCAAGTTCAGGCAGAGAGTACTCAAACTACCCTGCACAGGCAGACCACAGTCAGCTGAGCTGAGCTCCAAGATTGTGCTCTGACAATCTGTATCCCATCTCATCCATCCCTTGGCAGAGCAGACACAAGAGTTCTGTTCAGTCCTCCAACAGTAACCTCAACCAGGTTAGAGACTTCTGTTTGGGTAGGATTCCATAGACACCTATAGTTATGTCTCTGCTTGAGCACAAGCTGCATCCAGATAATAAACACTGACCAAGTAAATAGCAGAGTGCTAGGCAGATAGACCAGCAGTCTTAACACAGACATCTCACCCCACTATCTCTCATGAAACTGTCTGTGAGCCTGACCTGTAACTAACTCAGTTCACTACCTGTGAACAACCCAGTCTGCATCACCAGTGAACTGCCGGCTACATTTGGTACAGTACTAAGATGAACTTGCTTGCTCTCAGGAGTGTCTTAATGCTAGTGGTACCACAGAGACATAATCAAGAGAAAGCAGACTAAGTAGTCCAACACTCCCAATCTTCTTTCAAGTGTTTAGCTTGCCTGCTCCAGTACCAAAAACAGAGCCTACCTTCTTTCCATTCTTGTAGAACTGGAACGTTGGCATGCACTTCACATCACAGTGTGAAGCAACATCCTGGAAGAGACAAAAAAAAAATCTTCAACTGGGCATATTCTTAAGGATGTTAAATACAGAACCCACTCTAGCTGACTTCTGTTTAGGTGACAGGGTAAAGCCACTACTGCTCAAGATAAAGCAAAAGCACTTTTGCTAGTCCACCACTACCAAAACTAGTGCAATGTTAACATCTCCCTGAAGTAAGCCTTAAAGATCCCTTCCTCAATTCATTCATTTAATTCATGCAATAGCAAAAACCTTAACCTGTACTCTGTGTTCGGAAAAAAACAAATAGACCTCTGCATCAAAACAGATGTCTGGTTGTAAGACTCAAGAGCCCTATGACAACTCTTGTGCTTCCATGTGATATGTTTATCCCCTGAGAAAAAAATAATTCTTTCCAGCTAAATCCCTGTATTTCAATTTTTAGTTGGAAGTAAACTCTTGTTCTGTTTCAGTATGTGTGAAGACATTTTGAATTCTTGTCTGCCACTTGTGTCAAAGTCCTTAGCTGTCCTCCCTCAGCACCACCCCAGACCTTACCTGGGCATCATCCACATCAATTTCTATGAACACCACATCACCATACTTCTCACACAAACTCTGGAAAGAAATAAAAAGAACTATGCAGTTACAGTGTTCCAGGAAAGCTTCCTGAAAATATATGTTGATATAAACTGCTGCTTAAACTGCTAGCAAAACATGCTTTGTTGTCTTAAAGCAGCTATTTTACTACCAGGGAAAAAATTCTCTGTTCTGCTGCTGATTGTACAGAAGGATAAGCATTGTTTCCTCTGTGCATCCCACTTCTTGAGGCAATGCAACCGGCAGGTCTCTATAGACCTGAAATGCATGTAAGCATCAGGACAAAAGCTAAACCACATATAGTTTCCAACTATATCAACAGTCAGTCTATTTCACTTGGTAGTCTTAAAAATAGATACTTCTGCAACTTCTCACTTTTCCAGAAAATGCTGGTAACCACATAAGCGAAAAGGAACTCCATGTTACTGTCAAGCAACACAAAAATTTATATACAATTTAATGCAGAAATATATCCAGAAAAACTACTTACGTGGAAAAAGGGCTTGATCATTTTGCAGGGTCCACACCATGTGGCAGAGAAATCAACTACTATAAGCTTCTCACCAGCAGATTTCAGTTCTTCCTCAAATTCAACCTAAAAAAAAAAACAAAACCAAAAAACTTTTTTGAATTTTTGGAACACATTGATGATTTCCCCCCTCCTTTCCTAAATGATATAAGACTAATCCCAATGCTGGCTTGCTCTCAGAACTAATACACTAGTCATTATGGCAAGTCTTAAACACTTGACTGGGTTATTTGTACCATCATGTAAGTGGTTAAGTATGAATTGTTTTCATTGGTGCTAGAAGCAGTCAATGTCTTATGACTCACCAATTAGAAAACAACAACAATGTTCAGTCAAGCTCACTGAATTGTGGAAGCAAGCTAGAAATTCTTCAGTTATGATGCTCAACTCTGACAGCTCTTTGTTATCCCCAATATATGATCCTTAGAGTTTTTTTATAATCCATATTCTTGTCTCTGTCTTGGCACAAAGACTTCCATTTTCCTCTGGGATACACATTCCTCTACAGAATTTGAAAAGGACAGACACAAACCTTTGTAAAGTCCTCCACTCTGGTGACTTTTCCAATCAATAGCTAATATTAAAATGGTATTGTGTGTTTTATTCTAAAGCAACCTCACAGCACTGTTATTTTACCAAGTGAACCCACATTTGACATTATTAGCCAAAGCAATGCTACACAAACAGACTACACAAGTAAATATTCAATGCTTATTTGGAGTTTTCAAGTCTGTGTGTTGCACTTAGTCACACGAATCATCTGTGGACAATATTTCTCGGAACTAAACATCCTTACATACCATTACTCATTTTTGCTGGCTAAAAAGTGAATGCTTTAATAGAACTGAAAGATATTAAAAGAAATAAATACTTGGATGCTAAGAAAAGGCAAACAAATATTTCAGGCAGACACAGAAGGTGCTGATCACCTACTTCCTGACACTATCTTTGTCAAAGAAAGTACAAACCACTTCAATAATTTTCAACTCTGTTGTCTTGTCAATCAAGCTTCAGGATAGCTGTTAGTATAAGTGTCAAAAGATAGCTGCTTTAGTACCCCCTCAACTTAATGGAGCAAAGTGCTGGAGTCCTGTCAGCAAAAGCTGACTGAAAGCAGTATGGTTACTGCCAGATAGGGCAGGGGTTGGTTTTGCAGTGCAGGAGTTAACTAACTGATACCTGCTTCTGCAATCAGCCACAGTAAGTTGCGACTTGACTTTAGTAAGCTAAAGAATGCCAGGCAGGTGAGGAGCCAAAAGTCAGACTGGACATGAATACATATAAAAAGCAATCAGAGATCCTGCTCTCATGAGCATTCTCATGAGAGAATGTATAATCATGAGTATGTATAATCCTTTGTGAAAGTCTTTACAGCTTCCTATAACTTCAAATAGACTCAGCATTACATCTCTCTGTTAACAGATGTTTTCCCTCCCCACGTAGCTCTCTTCAGAGGCACAGCATCCATGCTGGTTTTTCCATTCTTGCATCTTGGACAGTCACAGTCTACTCTGCTACAAGACCCATAGTAACACTCCACACCACCTACTCTCATTCTGAAAGAGGTAGAAACTATTAAGTTTTCCTATTTCCCTACATTCCCCTGCTCCTGTACTGACATAATATGGATTCCTGTGCCCATTCCCACCAGCAATGTTTAATGTCCCTGTACATTACAGCAATTCACACTCTCTGTTCCCTTCCAGCACTTACTTATACAGCAAGTTCCTCAGTTGAGCCTCACTCCTTTTGGCCTTGAAACTCTACTGCTGATTTTTGGTATAGCTTCCCAGACCTCTGCACGGTAGCATCACCACACTATTGATTCCACTTCCCACAGCTGCCAGTTAGATCATCCTCTTTTAACCCCTAAGTGTCCTGTCCAGCTACATAACTACTGTATTCTGCAAAAGGAGGCCCAGCCCTGGAATGTGTTCATCATATGGCCACACACCTCAGGTTTGCTATTGCACAGAACAAAGGGAAAGTGGGACAGCATCATAATTACATCTGGTCACATATACCATTCTCCACTGGTGACCTGGTCCTGACTACAAATCAGGTGTTACCCTGAAAATCATCTCCACTATCAGCCAAAATTGCTGCAGGACAGTGAAAAGAGATGCTGGGTCCAAAGGTCTTACCTCTGCAATTTAAAAAATATCAAACTAGTGTGAGGTTATGGAAGTTTTTCTAGTGAGCTTAATTTCCCTGGAGGAAGGAAAACAGTAGCAGAAACAAAACAAAAAACAAGCTGCTTGGTCTGTCTGACTGACTTCACTAGTTGTATTTCATGTTAACTGTAAAGTGACAAGGTTTTTTATAAAAAAACTAAATAATCTCTATTACCAGAAGGGGAACCTCCCATCAAAAGGCTATTTTGTCATGCTCTAAGACCATACTCCAACTTTGTTAAACAGAATTTTCTCCAGGTAGCAGCCCACAGAGAGAAACCTCAGCTAGTATGCTGGTCAATATTGGTTTGTTCTCTGCAGCATTTGTTTCTGTTTGTTTGTTTTTCTTAAACATTTAATTACAACCTTCCTGAACACACACAAGATCTCATTTTACTTGTATTGTTGTCCATCAGAAAAGGGCATGCTACCTTCAACAAACACATTGGTAGCAGGCATCTGTTCCCAAGGGCCAAGTAAGAAGCTCTAATAATGAAAACGTCCAGTGTGCCTCAGAGGTTCCCAGCACCAGGCAGTGCTTCAGAAAGGAGGCTGCCGGCCACAGATGGTGCTAAAAGGAGTCTGCTGCTCTCAGCAATAGATAAGATAGGTCCACACTATCTGGCAGATTTGATTAAAGTTTGGTTGTAAACATTCTTTTCAGTAAGTATCAAGTCACCCTTGAACTTGCCCAGTCATCAGCTGACTGCCAATGGTTACTGTTTAATTTAGTGAGTTTTTTTTTTAAATCCAGAAGCTAGCAGACCAAAGGTTCAACTGCCTAAACTCCCTAGCACACACCACTTCTTGAATTATCACTTACAGCAAAAGCTGCAAATTTCCAGCATTTTCTTTAACTAAAATAACAGGAGAGGCAGCTAGAATCAAGAGGAAAGCTTTGGCAGCCCCAGCTTTTTAACTCTATACAACCCATTAGCTTTGGCTATAAAATGACAGGTCACTCACCTCAAAGCCACTACAGAAGGGACAAAATACCGCTCCTTCTGCGCTACAGCAGGTACTACAGAGGGATCAGTCAAGCATCCTGAAAGTAGCCATTCTTCAGAAGCTACTCTGTTTCTGAAAAGGTGTGCAGGGAGAAGGGCCACATCGAGCTAGCTCTCACTCATTGAAGCTCTTGCAGACAGTGCAAGAATGGGTCTGCCCCTTTGTATCAGAGAAAAATACAAACCTCTGCTACAGAAAATCGGAATTAATCCAGAAATCCTAGCTGCATTGTGCTTGAATACTCTGTGTGCCACTGACGTTAAAATGCTATTGTCAGCATGACTGTTGAGTCCACACTCGCCATGGATGAGTAACAAAAGTTTGCTTTAACTACAGCAGACTATTAATCAAAATTCACAGCCAGGATAGTGGAAGCCTAGCTAACTTAGAACAGACTCTTCCTCCAGAGCCAGGTTTGTCTTGATTAAACAACGTTTAATCTGTTCCTGTGTGTAAGGAACCTCAGATCTTACACCAAAAGTTTGCCTCTCCTGTGCCACCACAAACAGAGAAGCGGGAAGAGATGCAAAGCAGAATTGCATTCACATACCATTCTTTCTCCAGGATATGAATGGTAAGTCATTTCATTCAGCTTAAGGAGCTGCCTGCATTCACCGGATTTTGAGCTCTGGTCACAAGTGTTAGCTTGTATATTTATGTATCACAAGCCAACACTTTTTGCAGTCCAGTGGGAGAGGTCTGACATGCTTTTCATTTAAAAAGTGAACTGACTGTAGAAAACCACAGCCTAGAAAACAAACTTGGATGTGTTTGAGACTTTAAAGACTGAGGTTTTGAAACATTTTGGGGTGCAAATGTGTGGTGGGGGGAAGGGGCAGGTCAGGCCTTGCTTTGGTGAGGGGCAGTGCAGTGCCCCACACTGGAGCACGGGGGCATCCCTAGAGCCTGTATCCCAGACACACAGTGTCCATTGATCACCGGCACACTAGCGGCAAGGGGTATTTAAGGCCAAACAGGCTGCTAGCGTATGTTTTGACCTACCTCCTCTTGGAATTTTTATCAGCTGAACACCGCTGGGATCCAGCAATTAGCTGGGTGTGCCCTACAGCAGTATAGCTATATGTGCCCTTTATGTCCTTTCTGTCTTTTTCTTCTTCTAATTCCCTCTTCTCAGAATTTTTATCTTGAAGTCAAACAGGCTTAGAGTTTGCTAAGCTGAATGGGCTAAATTCATGCTTTGAGAAATGTTCTGTGTTGACTGAATTTTTGCACTAAACCTTTGCCAAAGTTCTCTAATTTTCTAAAGTTGCCAGTAAAGCCTTTTTTGTTGTTTTGACCTCTTGAGAATATCTTGTGGGTATCTCTCCCCTGTGTCTAACTCAGAGTTAGGCAAGAACAACTGCAAGCCCTGCTAAAGACCTTGTTGAATGACGTTTTGGAGCCTTACAGGATGCCCACACAGCATCACTTGTAGACGCCTCAAAATGAGATTAAAGTGATACTTGCACCAAATTTCAAGTTCAAAAGATGAGACTAGCCCAACAGGATTTTTCCTGAAATGAAGAGCTTGCTAAGTTTGCATGAAGAATATTTCTCCAGACTTGCGTTCCTAAGTTACAGCTAACAAATATTCTATTGTTGTCTATCAACCACATCAGCTGCTGTGCACAAGACCACATACTATTTCCTCACCAGCAGGGTATTCTCCATGTGTTGGTCTAGGCTTTATGACTATTCTGTATCTCAGAGCCAAAGATGCGTTTGCATTCACAGAATCACCCGAACAGCGATGTGCTGCATTAGGGTTGTGAATATGTCAGACAGCAACATAAAAAATGAAATACCTCTTAGGCCAGCAACTCCTGCTAAGTACAGGGAATGGGCTATAGCAATTCCTTTCAAGTCAAGAATGGATGAACTTTTCCATTATATCCTGCCCAAAAATGCAACAGAACTTATGCCAAACTCTAAGAAAGCCACCTGGTGGCTTCCCCTACACACTAGCAGTACATGAAGCAAATCGGGACTACCAAATTAGGGTACTGTATCACAAAATCAGTTAGGTTGGAAAAGGCCTCCGAGATCATCGTCTCCAACCTGTGACCCAACACCATGCTGTCAACCACACCACGGCACTCAGTGCCACGTCCAGTTCTTCTTAAAACATCTGCGGGGACAGTGACTCAACTGCCTCGCTGCGAAGCCTAATCACGCTGTATTTTAAGAAATTCCTCCTAATGTCCAACCTAAATCTCCCCTGACGCAATTTAAGACTGTGTCTTCTCCTGTCGCTGTAGTACCCTGTTATCCGCTTGAGAAACCACACTTTTTCCTTAAGACTTTAAGTCCGATGAGCAGCAACTTGTAATAACGAGACATTGCATCACCCCCTGCTCATTGCGACTCCCCGCAGCCTCAGGTCGCGCTGTTATTTGTCCCTCCCTCTGGTCCGACCGAGCCCTCCGCGCGGCTTCCCCCGTTCCCGCCGCATGGGTGAAGCAGGCTCCGCCTGCCCGGGCAGCAGACGGGCTCTCACCCGCCATCTCCCGCAGGCCAAGGCCTCTCGGGAGCCCAGGAAAGCCCGAGCAGGATCCCCCGCCTGCCAAGCTGCCCCCGGCAGCGCTCCCTCCCCGCTCGCCCGACCGCCGGGAAGTG